AACAGATTTTCATGCTACCCACTTAGGAGAATTAATTTATAGTACTAAGCTTTGTCATCCTATTCACATGTGATGTCATTTAAATTCACACATTTCCTTACTCTGTATGACTTACTTTTTTATAACCGTTAAATGACATAAACTACAAAGGTTTAGATACACTTTCTCAATCAGTGCAATATGAAAGTGTGTCCAAACCTTTGACTGGTAGTGTAATTAAACTACCAGTGGTGTCATCTGTTGAAGTCAAGCAGAACGTGGTAGATGCAGAACTGCAAATGAAAAAACATTTTGAGTGACTGTAGCTGCCAGTTTACCTGAGCTAAATCACAATATATAGGAACAATGTCTTAAGCCACATGCACGCAGAAACTCTGACCTTTCCTGCTTAAAACCCTCTTGCTTTGTGTTCACAGCTGAAAATCTGCACAAGCAAAGACAACTCTAAAAGTACAAACAAACATTCTATTTTAAAATCATTGTATTATTCTTCTCCATACTGAAACCATTCAAACATTCACAGGATAGTGGAAAAAGTATGTGGACCCTTAAGCTTATGACATCAACAAAAGTTAATTGGAGTCAGGAGTTAGCAAACCTGTAGTCCAGTCAATGAAACCAGATAGGAGGGCTGGTTTAGAGCTACTTTGACTTAGAAAAGACAGTCAAACATTGTCAGTTTGCTATGCACAAGAAACATCTGCTGATGTGAGCCATGCCTCCCAAAAAAGAGATCTCAGTCAAGAATTGCTGATTTGCGTAAGGCTAGAAATGTTCATAATGTAATATCAGAGTTTATATAGTTATCAGTACACAGTTAGACAAACTTTCTATGAATGGAGATGATGGCAACGCTCCCTTGAAGTGGGCGCTAGCTAAGATGACTCCAAAGGCACAACACAGAATGATTAGTGAGGTAAAAAAGAGAGTAACAGTTGATGGTTTAAAGGAATCACTGGAGCTACTTAAGTCTACCATACACAAATCATGGAGCATGGTTGTATGGCTTCATGACTTGGGTCTGCTTTGCTGGACAGCTTTGCCATTCATCACAGTGGCTTACATGATCATTTCAGTATGGCTGTCTGCTCAGTAGAAGCAGGACCATGACCATAAACATTGAAGAGAATCCACTTTCTGGAGTCAGAGCCCAGACTGTAACCCAACATATATGCTGTGGAATGACCTCAGAGAGCCATTCACTCCAGACATCCTAAGAAAATGGCTGAGCTGATGCACTGTGAATGCTTAATAGTTGTGTTCAATAAAAACACAAAAGATTATTATTGTCTGTGTGTTACTAGCTTAAGCAGAATGGTCGCCTACGCATGTAACTAATTAGAGATGAAGATCAGATCAGATTTTGGACCTCAGGCTGACTGTTGCACAAAACAGCCACTGGGTAGATAACAGAGCAGTCACGTGCATGTGTTTACTGGTCAGCACTCCATGTTACAGTCGTTCTTTTAACAGTGCACCAGTGAAGTTATTTTCCTTATGGTGAAAAACTTGATGAAGATGTACATCTTTAATACATACACTTACATGTGCCACACAGTAGGCCAGTTTCCACGATGGAAATCGAAATCCACTGAGTGAAATATAAAGAAAACATGTCAGACGGGTGTTAACATCCATTAACAATTCAGCCCACGTCAGACCCGTTTCTGTGTGTATGTAAACACAATATGACATCAGGGTAATTAAACTAGTTATGAGGGCTCCAGATTGGCCTCCGTCTGTTTGCTCTCATGTCTGTTTATTCATTCAGTTACTTTGTACATTTGTTTGTTGATGCAACAACTGATCGAATAGATGGAGCCAATCCACCTCACAACTAAAAGCTTAGAATTGTTTAATATTGCTAAAGGCAGGATGTTTCGTTTTGACTCCAACCTCCCAAATAGACTGTGAAGTGTGCGATTCATTCCATCATTGTATTCCTGAGTAGAATAAACTTCACTTTAAGTTTATACATATTAAGGCGCTGTTGGGTTCATCTTCATCATATATTCTTTATTAGGTCTGTATTCAGTACAATTTAAACATTTTATAAATAATATGGCACACAGATTGCATTAATAAACATGCACTGATGCAGATAATTCTCCAAGAAAATGTGCTCCATCAGTAAAACTTGTGTTTTGTGCATGTGTTTGACAAAACTGCAGACCTTACTGTGAGATCCAGGTCTAAAAAATAATTGCAGTTTGCTTGTTCTTGTTCTATCTCTGTTCTTTCTCTCTTGGGTCTGAGCCTGAAGTGGGTGAATTCATTTCTGGACTTTGTGGTAATTATAGTTCAGGAGATGTTTCATAAACTAATAAAAGCTGAAAATGCTTAAATACTTTGACTTAAACATTTCCAGCATTGCTGATCAAATCTGTTTGGAGGCTAGGAGTTTAAAAACTGTGACATCAGGTAAGCCATGACCAGTTTCCTCCGATAGCACTGTCCCTCTTGAGCTTTCGCTAAGTGGTGTCTTCATATGCAGTAGTCTGTTTATTAGTTTTACTATTTGACATTTTCTCAATGCAACATCTTATTCAAACAAGTCCGCTCTGTGCACGCTGCTTTAATCACAAACTCCTCTTTTAAGGTAAGTACAACTGGACAGCCTGTCAGACAGGCATTTCACTAAACTACATTTGTGGTTGTTAGGTATGGTATTTCAGATGTTTATGTGGGCACACACATGTTCATACATTTGTGTGTGTGTATGTGTGTGTGTTAGCCCCACTGAGAGCGTTATTACAAAGAGCCAATAGGAGCGAAGGACCACACTCTAGCACATCCTGTTTGACTTGACCTCAGAGGATATTCTCCTTTCCCAAGCAAACAAACCACCAGGCTTTTGGATCATACCAACGTCGGAGGGGAAGGGAGGGGACAGGCACGGGGGGACGTCTCTGGTGGGGAATCAGTGGGTAGGTCAGCGTTCTTGCAGCAGAGAGAAGCAAAAGAGTTACTGTTTTGGCAAAAGAGGAGAGCAGGTTTAATCTCTGAAAAAACAGATAGGTGTGTTAATAAATTGTGGCCCATCAAAACTGGCTTAAACCCAACATATTTTTACTGGACTGTAAAAAAAATAAAACTACACAATACAATATTCAACACAACAAATGAGCTAATGTTTCATAAGATAAATAAAATTCCAGATGTTTATGTGGGCACACACATGTTCATACATTTGTGTGTGTGTGTGTGTGTGTGTTAGCCCCACTGAGAGCGTTATTACAAAGAGCCAATAGGAGCGAAGCGATTGTTATTCCTCTTTTGTTAAATACATCAGCATCTCACCTCTCTGCTCTCCTCCACTGTGGAGACAATGCACGTGAACATGAAAAGGAATGGGGCATCATATTACAAGGACAGTCATGGTAGATGTACTAAAAATAATCACAGACAAAAATATAACTCCATATACAACATTTACCAATATTTTTGCGCTAAGGCTAGACTGGAGATAACGCTGTCAGAATCCAGGGATGTAATGGTGCAGAGTGTAGCATCAACATTCTCAGCAGGGAGCAAGTGGAGCCCAAAGGAGGCAGTGTTGCAGGCTCAGGCAGCTCCTAAACATAGGGATATTGTATGGCAGGTACAGTATGGATGTGGTGGTTTTGGTTTAAGCACATCACAACCTTTGTGGAGCAAAGCTGCGGCACCTGACAGA